AGCCATTGGAAAGGAGTGCACAGAAACTGTGGTCTTGGAAGCTGCAATAATAAAAAGCATGCCTGCTCTTGGAATTGTGTGCAAAAAAGCATCTGTCCATAACTAATGAATCAGAGATAGTAAGAACTGCAGATGCTGGAGAATCCAAGACAACAAGGTGTAGAGCTGGATGAACACAGCAGGCCAAGCATCAGAGGAGCAGGAAAGCTGACATTTTGGGCCTAGACCCTTTAAGACCACATGGTTGAATCCCCATTAGCACCTGATAGACGGTGCTTCAGTGTGACCTAAAGGACATCCTGCACACTGAGTCATGACTAGTGCTGACTGTCATACGGACAACTGGATCATTTTCTTAAAGCTGATCTTCCATTTTGAGCTTAAGCCCTAGAACAGATCTACAGATAACTCAAAGAAATTTCAAGTCATCAAGCAACCTTAAAGACCAGACCGGAACACCCTGATCTCACTGCTGATTCTGCTCCAAAAGAGCTCTGGCAACACATCAAAAGTGCAATACCGGACACTTTCAACAAGATCAACAGACCCAGCACCAAAAAGAACAGGGAGTTGGCTGATGAAATGAAAAGGAAATTTAAGGTCAGCTGGCAATAAAAGGGTCAGCCCCTGCCAGCTAGCTGGCCAAACGAAACAGAAAGCCTATCATCATGCGAGCAACGACCTTCAGAGTAAACTAAGGAACAGTCAACATGATTGGTGAATAGTACTCATGGAAATAATAGCTGTACACTGATATTGGTGATATAAGAAGCTTGTGTGAAGCACTACAGGCCAGCATATCAAATCATAACCACTCTCAGCAGAATCAATGGCAAAACATACACATCAATGAGGATTTAATCCAAGCTTGGTTTTCCAGGTCGAGATGCAGCTGGGACATGATTTATTATCTGTAGGAATTGTGGACGGATGAAAACACTGAAATAATCGGCAGATGTTCCCACTTCTGAACACATGCTGAAGGTAGATCATTGATGAAGCAGCTAAAGATAGTTCAGCTTTGGCCACTGCCTTTGGGAACTCCAGCAACAAATGTCCCAGGTGGAGATGACTGGCCTCCAACAACCATAAACATCTTCCTTTCTACTTGTCCATCCAGAAGAGAATTTTCCCCTCGATTCCCATTGACCAAGGCTTCTTTTTACCAGACTCAGTCAATTGCTGCCTAAATGCCAAGGACAACCATGTTCACTTCACCACTGGAGTTCAGTAATTTTGTCCATGTTTACAGCACGGCAGTCTGGATCCAAGTGGTCCTGGTGGAGCCCAAACTGAACATTGCTTAGTAGATTACTGGTGTGTAAATCTTCAATTATAATTACAATATCTTCCATTATTTTGCTGATTGGGAGTAGACCATCAGTCTGGTAACTGGTAACATTAGGTTTGTCCAATGTCATGTGTACAAGATATACCTGGGCAATTTTCCACTTTAACGCATACATGCCAGTTAAAGTTGTACTAGAATGAATACATATTTAGATGCAGTTATATCTAGGTATGAATTCATTAATGAAATGTCAATTCTGAGCTACAGCAGACTACATTTATTTAAAGCAGCAGATTTGTACTGCTACATTAATAAAACAATAGAATCAGAATTGCAGTCTCCTTTGGAGAAACCATCAATAGAAGGAGGACCACTTCCTCAAGAATGAAATAAAGGAAGGTTCATGAGCACCAAATGCTGGCCTTGCCAGGAATGCTCACACATGTAAAAAAAATTGAAAAGCCTAAACTCCTGCAACAAGAAATGTGATGCATTGGCGAATTGGCCCGTTGATTAATTATCTCTCTTCATCACTCACTTCATTCTGCAAGAACATTCAGACCATCCAAAAATGATAAGCTGACAGTGCAAACTCAGCAGTGTCTATTAAACCATACTGCAAGTTAATATGTCAAATATGAAGGTGATTATTTTAATGTCAAATATAATAACTGCCTCAAATTCATCTTTCACCCAAGTGATCAACTCATAGGACTTTTCCTATTGCTTGTGCTAAACTAGAAAAACAGAGCATGTAATGGTGCATCCACACGAGATCCTCCTCCAAAGTATCTTCTGCCCTGGAGTGGTGAGAATTGTTGACAGTAGTGGGGGAAGAGTGTACATCATTGCCAGTACATCAGTGTTGTTGGAGAGTCAGAGCAATAAAGAGTTATACAAATCTAAACAATTACAAGGCGTTCTCCTTGTAGCCTGATGAAAGCTGGCTGGAAGACTGATGGAGTTCATGTTGGGATCTTGAGATACCCGTAAGGAAATTTGTTGGTCCTTGATTTTATAATCCAGCACTTAGCCTGAAGTATGCAAGTTTTAGAGATATCATAAAGTAACCCAGTATGAAAACAGCTCTGATTTCTGAAGAAGGGTCCAGACCCGAAACGTCAGCTTTCCTGCTCCTCTGATGCTGCTTGGCCTGCTGTGTTCATCCAGGTCTACACCTTGTTATCCCATGAAAACAGCTCAAGTAGGAGACAGAAGATGAAAAGCTGACTATGGAAAATCATTTGGCCTTCGGTAACTCTATGAAGGTTGCTATTGTAAGGTACAGTTACGTACAAAAATGTCACCCTCAGATTGCAAGGAGATTCAACCATAAAAGATCTTTTTTGGGCATTTTTAATTTTCAAAACAAATATGATTTTAACTATGACATTCCTCCTTACTGATTAGTTAATAGCTTTGTGTAATGTTTATGAAATCAAGGACGTGTAATACTGTCACAATTTGAGAGATCATCCTTCATTCACAACATTGTGTTCTATCCTGCAATCCCAGGGCAGCACCTTCTCCATCCTGGCACAAATTTTTTTTTACAATGTCTGATTCCACTATCAACCTTTGGTCAACTACCATCCAGACAAGAGAAGAGTTGATTGGGCTCATTGTCAATTTTGGATAATGCATTCAAACAAATAGTATTGTTGTAACAGCTACAAGTGTGAATACTTTCTAGAATATTGACCAATGTTTCCTTGTAAGAAATTTAGGGAACTTAGCAACAGGATAAAAATGTGTGATTCTGTCATGCCACTACCGAGCATTCATTTTAAACTGTCTTAGATCCCCTGCATTTCTTATAAAGCTCTCAGAGACTGAAAAAAATATATGTTTGGATGGCCATCTCAATGATATTGTATAGAAGCACCGAGTTGTCATGGTGCAGAAGGAGGCCATCGTGTCTATGAGCACTGTGACTTGGCGTCATTCCCCAAAACCCTACACAAAGCTTCTATTTAAATAATAATCAAATGCTCTCTTGAAAGCCTCAATTGAACCTACCTCCCTAACAATTCCAGGCAGTACATACTAAAGCCTAACAACTCACTGTGTGAAAACGATTTTTCTCACTTCACATTTCCTTTTTTGGCCAAACACATTAAATTTGTGCCCTCTGGTTCGAACCCTTTTGCGAGCAGCAATGATTTCTCTTCATCTAGTCTGTCAGATCCCTCATTATTTTGAAGACTTCTATCAAATCTCCCCTCAGCCTTCTACAGTTGAAGGAGACCAGTCTCAACTTTTCCAATTTATCTTCATACCTGAAGTTTCTCCTTGCTGGAACCATTCCCTCCTGCACTCTCTCCAATGCATTCACATCCTTCGTAAAATGTGGTGACCAGAACAACGCATGATACTCTGGTTGAAGTCTAACCAGTTCCTACAGAAGTTCAGTTTATCCTCCTTGCTTTTGTACTTTATACCCCTATTAAGAAAGCTAGAATACAGTATCCTTTACTAGCAGCTCTCTCTACCTGTCCTGTCATTTTTAATGGATGTTGCCCATACACGGCCAGGTTTTTCTGCTACAACAATATAGAAATTGCTGGAGAAACTCAGCAGGTCTGTGGGCACCTGTGCAGAGAAAGCAGAGTTAATGTTTTGGGTCCAGCGACCCTTCTTCGAAATTGTCTTGCACAATCAGAGCAATTCTTTGTTTTATTTCAGGTCTCTCTGCTCCTGCACATGCTTTGGAATACTGGGAACTGAACTGAGGAAGAGTCATATCAGGCACAAGATGTTAACTCTGTTCCTCTCTCCACAGATGTTGCCAGACCTGCTGAGTTTCTCCAACATTTTCTTTTTTTTTCAGATTTCCAGAATCTACAGTATTTTGCTTTTATTACTGTTGTGTGCACGTGGTGGATGATCTATAGGGCATGGAGTGATTTCACGTAGCCTCAAGTTATTTTTGACAAAATCTCAAATGCTGTAAACGCCTTAATGCAACTGCTCCAAGTTGCTTCAGGGGGCACCTGTATAGTAGAATACTCATTCAAGTATTTATAACAAGTACATATCTCTCAGCTAGTTGTTAATTACAATTAGTGCAGTGGGGGTACAAGTCACCAGACTTGGAAATTCCAATATTGGTGATTCTCGCTTTAATGTACTAAATGAATAACCCAGCTATTGAAAAGTATACATGTGGAAGGTCTCATTCCTAAACACTGGTCCACCATTACAGTACAGAAATGGATCTCACCACAGAATGCACCCACAAAAACGCAATTCTGTACAAATTAAGTAAGAAAATGACTTCAAAGCTCAAATGAATCTATTTTAACATCCTTTCCTGCTGCTAATCCACAAAATCAATGATAGGGGGCAATTTCCTTCACTATATTAATGCCAACAATATTGGCAGAACATATCAAATACAGAAAAATATCTAATTGTGCACAAATATTTACACAATTACCTGAATATACCAGAACTACCTCTCATAAATCCAAATGTATTTTTTCCCAGATATAACAACACAATTTAAACTCATTTGGATTTCTAAAATTAAGTTTCATAATAATCCTTCATGTACAGAGTCAAATCTCATCCTAAATGAGGGCATAAACACAAATTCCCAATATAGTGTCATTGTATTAAAAATTACTGTTGTCGAAGTACTGAGCTAACACCTCTATTTTAATGTTGTTTAAAAATAGCAAACGAGTAAGAAGTTATTTATTCTTACCCAGATTTTTAGTACCTTGATCATGCTGGTTCCACTCAAACGAATCAGGAAGCTGATAGGACACCTCCATCACTTTTGTCAAGTTTCGGTTGACTCTTATGGGTCCACCAGGTGTTACATACGGGTGTGAAGGCACTTCCGTGTCATAATCCATGCTGTCTTCATCTGAGTCTTCCTCATCTTCTTCATCATCATCCTCATCGAACTCTGTGAAAAGACAAAACATTGACATATAAAATAAAAAGGAGATAGAATGGCAGTATCAGTGGACTGAACACTGAGGTGGGGACATTGGTTCAAACCCTACCTCAACAGCTGATGGACTTCAAATTCAATTCATAAATCTGGAATTGAAAGCTGGTTTCAGTGATGGTGACCATTAGACAAGCGCAGATTATGTCCAGTCTGGCCTTCACATGCCTCTAGAGCCACAGCAATGCCCTCTGTAAAATCTTAGCAAACGCCTTGCTAAAAGGGCAATTAGGGATGGGCAACAAATGGTGGCCTTGCCAGCAACGTTCAGTATAAAAGTGTACTTAAGTAAAAGAACACTAAGCATGATAACTATTTACAGGAAAAGGTTTCAGAAAGTTGAAGTTTATAAGTAAACTGCAATAAAGAATTAACTTTAGATCTGAAACGCAACATTTGGAATTTGAATTCATGGCCACAGGCTCTCATAACATCAACAAACTGTATCTATTTGGGCGCATGTGACAGAAAACAAGGATCTATCAGGACAAAACAAATAATGCCAAATTTTCCAAGATACTGGAGTCAATAAACAAGAGCATTATCTATTGCAATCCCATTACTCTCTCATTTCTGGTATACTTTTATATTCTTCCTTTTCAAGTGCTTACTGTATAATTCCATATGAAATATATCTACTGAGCAGATTATTATACCAACTTTCCCACACACTGCTGTTCTAATGAGTGGCCTCCTTCAATGCTCCTTTATTACTGATATACCAAGTAGTGGAAAAAAATTCTGATGTTACTTACTCTCTCAGAGTCTTTTAGAATTCTCTAAACACTTATCTTTCTCAATGATTGATAACATACTTCCACTGCACGAGCATTTATTGATCTGCAATGGGAAGAATGGCACCCATAAAGCCAGTATTTACACAAACTTGCTAATGTTCATTTTGAGAAAGTTTGAGGCTCGTGATTTCTTAAAAGGAATTTTATGTTCCAAGGCTTGTAATAATGTCAGTAAGGACATGATTCAATGAGCACCGTTAAAAATTCTTCTTGAACTGTCACGAAAGACATCATTCTAGTCTGCTTACAGTAAAGACCCCCGTCTGACAAGATGCCAAACAAAATAGAGTGCATTTACACTCATAAATGGAATAAAGGAATGGAAGATAATGAGAAGGTACCCTCTAATACATACCCAATTCACTGTTCTATTCTCAAAAACACTCAGAAACTGAGTATGGCTTTGTCCATGATCAGGCAGTTATTATGAAAGCTTGTTTATATACAGGACAGCAACAAAATCTTCAAAATTCATTTCATAGTGTTACATGGTGGTCAAAAGCAGCAACCTGCAATGTGACATGTTATAAGTACAACTAAACAGGGAAACACTGAATCATTTTAATTCTCAAAAACGGATGGCTGGAGTGAGGTGACTTGTTAAAAGTAGTTTTAAATCTCAAATCAAACATCAACCTAACTCCCCAACCCATCTACTGGATTTAGAAGAAGCAGAATAGGATTTTGCAGCCAACACCTTTCTAGGACGTGATTTATCTATTTACCTGTTATAATAGAGTTAGGCATATATAACTTCACTTACAGTCTTGAATTTGGGCCACAGGTTTCCCAGACCTTAAAAACTGAGCAGTTCAGGGAAGGTAGAAAGATATTGCAATATTTGTGGTCGAGGAGGAGCAGGATTGTTTCCACATGTCTCTCAACTCCCATTAGTAATTGGAAGATCCTTTCCTGAATTTGCAGCCTGCTCCAAGTAGCCCCACCCAATTCAGAGCCAAGCCTGTCAATCAAATTGACTGTCAAGCAATTGGCATTTGGTAAATGAGATTGGAGAGTTGGACATCTGGTTTAAAGAGTGGTGTAAGAAAAACAGGTTTGATTCATGGGCACTTTCAACAATACTGGGCAAACTGGAAGCTATACCTTTAAGACAGCCTTCCTCTGAGATGAACCATGAGTGGTTACTTAATAGAGTTGAGGGGAAATTTGTGGGCAATAGAGCAAGTGGGAGCAAGTGATTTAATAAACAAGCTTTGAATGGACTTAGCAACTCAAGACTGGGCATCCATAAGGAGACATGGGCCAATAGCAGCAGAGAATCATATTCCGACACAATCTGCTACGTCAAGGCCTGGTGTATCCCCCACTCTAAGATTACCATCAATCCAGGGGATCAATGCTGGTTCGATGGAGAATGCAGGAGGGCATGCCAGGAGAGGCACCACGCATACCTAAAAATAAGGAGTCAACCTGGTGAAGCTACAAAACTTGCTTGCTAAACAGCATAAACAGCAAGTAATAGACAGAATAAAAACCAAAAGAACTGTGGATGCTGGAAATCAGAAACAAAAACAGAAATTGCTGGAAAATTTCAGCAGGTCTGGCAGCATCTGTGAAGAGAAATCAGAGCTAATGTTTCGGGTCCAGTGACCCTTCCTCAGAACAGAGTTCTGAGTGATAGACGGAGCTATTTAACTAGACTAGCCATGTAAATACAGTGGCTACAAGAGCTAGGAATTCTGCAGCAAGTAATTCATCTTCTGACTCTGAAAGTCTGTGTACCATCTGCAAGGCACAAGTCAAGAGTTCGATTGAATACTTTCCACTTTTCTGGATGAATGCAGCTCGAACAACAGTCGTGGAACTTAACATCATCCAGGACAATGCAGCCCATTTGATTGGCACTGGGTTCATCAGGTTGCTGGGATGACAGGACTATCCTATGAAAGAGGCCGAGTATGTTAAGTTTATATTCTTTGGAGTTCAGAATAATGAGAGGCAGAAGATTCAATACTATGAAAGGGCCAGACAAAGAGATATTGAGAGGTTGTTTTCCCTGATTGGGGAATCCAGAACATGGGGACAAAGTTGAGGATAAGGGGCCAATCATTAATGACTAAAATGAGGGGAATTTTCTTCGTTCCAAGGATTGTAAATCCACACAAAAGGATTCTGGATGTGCCATTTCAGGCTGCCATAAGGGCTATAAAAGGCAATGGAAATGAGCAGAGTGACATAGGAACTCTAAAGGACCATGGGGGTTAGAGACTCACAGTTTAACATAGAGGGTATGGAGGGCATTGGGGTTGATGGGGGGACGGGGTGTGATGAGGTGGCATGGTTTAGAATTTGACAGTGGGCCAGTTGGAGTACATAAGGGTGTGAGAAAGTGAGAAGTGTGAGAGATGTGTGTTTTTAGGATTCTTTTCAGAGCTGCAAAAAAAAAATGCCAGAGCACTGAGGTTGGCCCTTACCACAGCCTACCTCTGCACCTGGCAGCCCCTGTGGCTGTTTTCGAATTCCTTCAGAGGTCAGTGAAAACAGGTGTCACAAAAACCTGCACCCCCCACGCTTCAGAACCAAAACGCAGCCATCTGGGGAGGGGAGATTGTATGCCTAAGATAAACCCTGATCATATTGAATAATGGTGTGGGCTCTACTGGCCATTTGTTCATCTCCTATTCCTATCACATTCGTTCCAGATGGGAGCCTCACAAAAAAAAACACATGCTGCTGGAACTCCACAGTATGACTGTAACCCCACTTCCCAATACCCTCATCCTACCCAGAAATCGACCTCACGGAATATCATGGTTTTTCATGCACTCCACTTTAACTGCCTTTCCACCTCTTCCTTTAAAGTAGAGGGAAGTTAGTTTAAGAGTTAGAATTCCCATCTGTGCAACAAAAGAGATACTTCTAAGAGGCAACAAGGTGCAGGGCTGGATGAACACAGCAGGCCAAGCAGCATCATAGGAGCAGAGAGGCTGACGTTTCGGGCCTAGACCCTTCATCAGAAAAGGGGGAGGGGAAGGGGGTTTTGAAATAAATAGGGAGAGAGTGGGAGGCGGATAGA